GTTTTCCCCAAGAGCTACTTCTAAATCTTACTCTGTTTTAAAAAGCTACACATGTGTAAGTAGGTCAATCTTAAATTAATCTAGTTAGAAGTACTGTGTTCTCTATTCAAACTGGTTTAGCTCTCCTTTTAAATAGGTTTAGATTCATTCAGTACTTCCCAGAAAAAAAAATAACTGCTTTAAAAAAGAGCTTAAGTGCATTTAGCAAGACAAATCTAAAATCAATTTTCATACACCAATGCAATTTTTGAAGTAGAAGCAGGAGTGTATGCCTTAAGTTAGAGCCTTTTACCTTCTGACAGATAGCAAAAATGTTTTCAAATACTCTCAGGTGAAGAAATGAAATTTCCTGTCACTACCAGCCAAACGAAAATTCTGAGCAGAGCTTTTAATTAGAAACCTTTCTTTGATGGGTTGGTGCTGCCAAGGATTATGAGGAACTCTTATATCATACGTTGACTCATCTCTTTCTCAACTGTTTTATCATGGGATCATAAGAAACCTTCACTCATTGGAATGAGGCAATCCAATCAAATCTAGTTAGTACTATAAAATGTGCATATTTATTTTCTTTTTAATTTGCATTTTTGAAATAAATATGAGAGAACTTGCCTACAAAATTTTATCCTATTACTATGTATTACTAACAAGGCAGAGCTGCAAGATGAGTCCTATTCATAATTGTATTGTTGAAATATGTTCTCCTTTTTTTCCCCAGTAGCCAACGGCTAAGCTCTTCAGACATTATTTAAAATTTGCTCAGATTTATGAAGAATGCTGCTTAAAATATAGCAAAATTCAAAGAATAGAAGTAGGAAAATATAGTTACTTTTTTGGGGATAGGGGAAAGCATCTTATTTATGAGACCTTAAAAATGTATATGGTCTATCATGCTGCAGTACTTTGGAGAGTAGGAGCAGAAGATGTTACTGGTTCTGAGGCTTCACAACTACACAGTGATCATCCATAAATCTAACTAAAATCCAACACTTCTACTCCTAATTATATTGAGGTGAATAAAAAAATTTACATTCTCAATATTTAATATTGGCAAGATGGAGGACAGCGCTGTTAAAGTCAACAGGATCTACCATCAGCTTCCGGGAAACAGAGCATAGAAGAGAAACTTCTCACTAGCAGTAGAGACAGTACCATCCTCCTCCTGTCACTGTTTGTGACTTTCAATTTACATCAGTGATTTGAAACTTTTACAATTAAAAATACACTTATATGCTGTTAATGATTTTGAATATACCTTATCTCCCATATTGCAGTAAGAGGTCATTGTCCTTTTCTACATTTGGATACATTTTTCATTGAAAATAAACTTTTTTTTTGTTTCAGAAATAAGGTGATGTATGTATAACTCCTAAAAGGACTGAAGTCATGAGGGCAATGTAAAGTCTCTCTTGTCTTTAAATTCATATATTAAGACGTCTTCCTTTCCCTTTTGTTCCCTTTCTTTTTCTTTCCAGTGTTTCTATTCAAAATAAAGTTTAAATTTTTTCTTAATAAATACTTCTTTCCTATCAAAAGAGATTCTGTCCTTGTTTACACTGCTTCCCTGTGGTTGCAAATTTCTCATCCTCCTTTCTGACCAGTTATTTCTGCCATCACCAGAAGTACTATGGAAAGAAGTTCAGGAAAGAGATACTGCAGCTCAATTGGAATTAAGGTACTGCTGTATTCAACTTAACCTGAAAGCAAAGCATTAATTTTTGTAATAGGAGTGCTTTTTCTGACCAATAACCCTATTAGACTACTCTTACAGTCTACATTTCTACACTCTTCAGAATGAGGCAGGAGTCAAAGTACAGATTCCTTTCCCACTTCCTTAGAACTTTTGATTAGAAATCTGCAAACCATACAAAAAACGACCCTAAAGAAGCAAACGAAAGTAGCACTGAGCTGCAGAGATGAAGTGTAACAGTTGAAAATGATCTCTCAGTCTGGAAAATTATTTAAGCCAAGTAATAACCAATAAAATCAAGAAAACATGATGAGGAAAACAAACAACAGCAATGATAACAGAAACAACAACAAAATACCTAGAGCATGAGCTCACTGTAATTAACTAGTCAATGTGAAGTGACTTAGGAATACTGAATTTCTGAATAGTAACTCAGAACACTGAATTTCTATATCATTCCTTATTTTCTTCTTGGTTTAGTGCTCATTCAATAGAAAAAAATGCTATGAAAACTTCTGTAAAAGTTAAAACAGGTTATGGAAGCATTTTGAGGAGTTGGCTGTATTTTCTAAAGTAGACAATAGGTATTTTCATTAACAGTAAAAGGTGAAAAGTCAGGAAAGTACTTTTCAATAGGATCTACGATTTACATTTTTCTTCTAAATAACTGGGCTGATTTGAGTTTTCAAATCACTCCAGTTTAATTAAAATAGAAATTAAAAAGATAATCCAATTAAATAGAAATCTTAGAAAATCATTGCTTTCGGGTGATATTTAATTTGAAAAATAAATACGAAAATTTATTGCTAAAACTTTTTACTCTTCTGTTCAATATTTAACAACACCACATGAAGATGACTATTGGTGGACTATTGCAGCAATGAATCTTAAAAAAAAAAAGACACTCACCTGAGAAAAATGACTCATGGCTAAGATCAGAAATAGATTTTTCAACCTTCTGCTTTTCAGTGCTCTTAGACTGAGCTCAAGATGGTAGAGAGCCTAAGAGAGTTGTAAGTCTTTTCTTCCTGTCAATCCCCAATGGAATGCTTATCTTCTTTTTCCACTTGGAAATTGTTTCCAGTCACCAAGAAAAATAAAACAGTGGACATTCCTTCAGGATTCCTAGACCTAAGCTAATGCAGTAAAATTGTCATTGGCCTACCAGATAACTGGAAGCCATGGAGAAAAAGGAACTCTGAACATACAAATCAACTACACATATGTTGTTATTTCTAGGGTGTCAATCACACAGTGCTTTTGTTTTGACAATAGCTGTGACAAAAGATTTGTAATTCATACGATATCAACAATAAAACCAGGATTTGCCAAATTTTTTTGGAAAACTCACATTGGTAAGATATTTACTTTAATTTTCATTTATTTTGCAGAATTTTTGCAGTCATAAACTACCTTGGGTTCTCTATTTTGACTACTGGATTCCAATAGGAATAGCTCTCCCTCATGAAAGTACATAAGAACACATCAAGGTAGAAGTTATTAAAACTGAGAAATAATTTTTTTCTGATAACTCTTCATGACATAGACAATAAAAATTTTTCCTTATAAAAGGCCAATATCCTAAGATATCCAAAAAAATATTTTTAGTAATAGCACCATTTTGTTGTCATTTAAAGTTTTCATTCTAGATGTCTTCCAGTAAATAAAATACAAGAAATAGCTTTTGACAACTGCTGTACAAAAGACAACCACAAAAAGATAAAATAAAAAATATGTGTCCTATGGCACTCTGAAGATTATTTAAGAAACATAAGAAGATAGCTAGAAGATCACACATTTTAGTACACTCTAAAATTATCCACATGCGGAAACGCTCCAAAAGTGTTATCACATTTTACACTGACACCTTGTCATCAAAATACAAATGCCTGTAGATTTTCCTAAGTGCTTTAAGAAATAGTTCCAGAAACAAAGAACGTTATCCGCAGCATTTGTTTCCCACTAAGCCCATAAAAACACCTTGATTTAGCCTCACAATGCGAAGACCGATGATGTAATTGAACTGCACAAACAGCAGAGTCTCACTGTTGTTTCTCCTAGCTGAACATGTGGAGAGCAAATATGAGCAGTTCACTACATTTTGCACCAAAAGAATCTAGGGTTCAGTTCACAGGAGATAAGTTTCTTGAACCCATTCTTCTACCAAAGACCTTAATAGTAAAGTAAGCTGCTCTTTCCTCACTGTCCCTTGTGCTTTGGAAGTATCGCACCATCAGAACAGTCAAAACATCCCTGAAATATTCATTTCACACTTTGCTGCAAGCACCAGGCTACAAAAGCTAGTACACAGAAAACTCTGAATTTGACTTGGAAGATCTTAGGTGACAAACTTGTTAGATAAAAGCTCTGACTGTTCACTGGATAGGTTTAACATTCAAATACAACATTTTTGCATTTCATTGTTATCTTTATAATCTTTTGTGCATCAGCAACATCCTGATTATGTATCAGTGCATCCGATTCTGTGCAACACTGTTTGCTGAAAAGACTCTACAGCTGTGTAACTGACATGGAGAGATCTACTAGAACATATGGAGCCAAAACAGTGAACACAGAATTTCTACACAAAAATACTTTCTAGATACTCTTCTGCAGATATGCAAAAGTCAATTTTAAATTAGGCTTCTTAGATAATGGAAGTAATTTAGTCACATGAACTTGGAACTCAGCAAAAGCCAGATTGTTTGCCTAGTACATTGTGTAGTCACTTATATGACTATAAGGAATGTACAACTTAAATAAGGAATCATAAGTTCCAAGTAAGATTCAAAATTCAGAAATGTTAGTTCTGTTCTTGGAATAGCACTCTTAAGAGCTAACTTAAAAATTCTGCCATTTCATCACCATTAAGAAAAGCAGATTAGGTTTCTTACACATAGGTATCCACTGTATTGGTGAGTAGTGTCAGCTCTTTTTAACCACTCTTATATTACTTCTAATGAACATTCAATTTTTCCTGAACCTAAATAAAACACTTATGGCAAAGAAGTTAGAAATGAAAGGAGTAGTGTAAATATTCAACAGTACAATTGTTGAATGAACATAAATGTTTCCAATGGGAGTTTAATGTGCTTCAGGAGAAACACTTTTTCATGCTCTAAGTTACTTTTAGACAGAAACTTTTTGTTGAAGATTCCTAACAGACCAATTAACTGAAGAGAATACAAAACAACTGTGAACTTAAGAAACTAAGTAACTTTAAGAATAGGGAAGTGTGGAAATAGCTGTAAATTCATGACACATTTTAATTAATTTTATTTATTTTGTTTAAACTGAAATCTTCTCTTACCATCATGATTAGGATTTCCCAACGTCCATGGCTCATCTGAGTCAAAATGAGTGTCTCCCCCAATTCCTGGCCCAGGGAAATATGCATGGGCCAAAAATCCTCCCTCCCCATCAAAGGGAGAACTGTCTCCATGAAAACCTGATGCAAAAATGATTGTAATATCCACGTCTCTCTTGCCATTTTCTAATTCAATATACGGAACTTCTTCAAATGTTAGAGGAGTTACATTCTGCCACACATCAAAGGCACGGCGAATGGCTTTACGGGTTTCAGCATCACCTACTTTTGGAGTGACGTTCTTAATGCTGAAAGAAACAGAAAGATTGAACAGATTAAATTTGACTGCTTGCATCCATTTTTCCTTAATTATTTTAAAAAAAAAAAAAAAAAAAAAAAAAAAAAGCTTTTACAGGCCAGTGTGGCATTATTTCCCTTAAGGAAATTGTTTTTAATCAAGCAGGTGAGAAATTGCATTAATCTGCGCAGTTCTTTTTGCTAAAATTTATTACATGTTAGCTGGGTTATTCTCAGCAGCACAAAAATCATATTTTTAGAACATGAATAATATTTCTTAATGAAAAAAAATTCCTAGCAGTGGGATAACCAGATTAATCAACCACTGACGGTTTACCTCCTGGATCACAATTCAAATCCATCACATCTAAAGAATGGTATTCTAATCAGAAACTTAAAATGTTTCCAGTTAAATGCAATTTTTAACTTCTTAGCAGGTCCATTAACAATTTGCAGAGCTCCATGCTGTGACCACCAGCCACTATTTGCAGAGCCTTGAAAATGGTGCTTGATGCATTTCCAACTGGATGGATAATTCCTTATCACAATAAAGAGCTTGATGCTAATATGCCTTTTATAATCTGATTGCTTTTATTAATAATGCAGAAGACTGTAGAGTTCATCAGAAAACTCATTTTATAGAACATAATTCTGTGTTAATTCTTAAAATATTATTGCTAAGTACAAATTACAGTCTCCACCACTTCTTCAATTACGCACAAGTGAAAGGCAAAGAAAATAATGTCAGAGTTACAATTAAGGAACTAAATTTACAGTAGAAATATCTTTAAAAACTGCTTTATTTGCTTTCATTTCGCAATTCAAGAAAAGAATGCCAATAATCAGTGTTAGGCTTGTGCGTCTGTACTGAAATTGCTGCAACTAATTCATTTGACATGTGCTTGACTAACTGGACAGCATAAGTTTAATATGTAATATTCTAGAGTGTATGTAAATTTCTATGCATCTGAGCAGCAAAATGTGTTAATGGAGAACAAAGAGAATGTCATGAATAGAATAGACCTAAGAAGAGACTATTTTTCAACATAGTCATCACCATTAGCTTTGTATTTTTGCCCACTATGAAAAATAGCCTGGAGGCTGCACCTGTAAAAACCTACACCAGTGGAGGTGACCCACGTTGAAACATACCACCCACTGTCTCACAGTGCTCACATCCACTGTTTGGTTTCCATAAACATTCAGGAAGCATCAATGGATGTCAGCAGGTGCCATTTTTTTCCCCATGGAGGAGTTTAATGACACTTCTTTGTTTCATACGCACTTCCACATCAAACACCATTTGGTCAGACTGCCTCTCTTCTGCCATCTGTTACACAGCAAAATTCGATGTAATGGAATATTAGTATGAAAGTTCAATCTCTATTGTCATACCACCAACATCCCCCTCTGATGCTGTAGGCCAGCATTATAAAATAGGAGAGATCACATTCAAAGAATCCCCATACACAATGTGCATTCTGCATCTATCTAGTAAATAGCTTGAAGTGTGTAATTAAGTATTTCAGAAATTCCTAACTTTCTTTCTAAAAGAGCACGGACTTAAGGATCATTCCTCTTTGTTTCTTACAATCTCAATCACAAGAGATAAAAATTTTCCCAAACTATTCTAACTCATGAATCAGTACCAACTTCTCCAAAAAGGGAAAAGCTAAGCAGTTGGGAATTATCCTAGGGGAGGTAAGGAAGGCACCATAAGCATAGTGCTTTTCCAAAGGGTGTAAGCTATGCTTTTTTCTGCAAAAGTGAAGTTTATGGCTTTGTTTTTACTTGCATGCGTAGTTTTCCTTTAACTTTTTTCTTTTCTTTTTCTTCTCAGCCTGTTACCTTTCTGATTCTCTAGCACATTTAGGAAAGTGAGTGAGTGGCTGGTAGTGCCAAGCTGCTCGCAAGGGTTAAAGGTCAACATTATAGTTATTTTATGTGGTTAAAAAGTACTGAATGCACTGGTCCGAGGACTGGTCCCCGAAGAATCTCTCCCTCTTTTGTGAATTACTATTTTAAGATGCCTCAGAAAGAATGCACAATAATTTACGAACATGAATGAAAACATCTCACAAAAGTACATTCACACTGCCACTACCAAAAACTTCATAACAATTAACATGCTGCTATGCTAAGAGTATAAATTGAAAAGTTGGTGAATTTTGTCTTAATCTGGAAATATGCACATGAAATGTCCCAAGTGCAGTTCACTAAAGGATTAGGCCCTCTGTTGTCTGCTACATATAATGAATCAGGACGCTTTTCTAGGAAAGAGAGTACGTCTAGCAAACCTGTTGCTTTTTATGTAGTAATATTTAACCTGATAAATCTATTGTTATTTTTTTGTTTTCTATTTAGAAATCTTAGTAATGGATCAAAGTCACACTCTGAGGTTATATAAGCTGCAAAATGACATGAGGAAATGGATGAAAACAGATTAGATGAAAGCAGATTGGAGTTTTGTATTGGTGATAAACTGATTAATTTCTAGGTCTAAGAGGAACTGATTCACATTGCAGTCCTTGTCACTTTACATTTTCTTGCCTTTTCAGTGCACAGAATTATGCTTTAATCACTGATTACAAAAGAAAAATTGAGCCATTGTTCTAATTTCACATGTATGTGGGTGATTACCTATGAGGGGGACTTATTTCAGGGGCTTCAACCATTGACTTATTTTTGAAATAGCATTCTACACCTCAAGATTCATTGTTATTAAAAAGGATTTTTCAAAGCATACATTCTGTATTAGCACAAGACAGATTTCTGGCTTCCAAAATGGCCTTATGGAGAGAGTAAGATTATAACGAAAAATGTGGCTTCTGAAAGAAATGAAACAAATCAATAGTTATTCCAATTTCCAGAAGATGATTGTCCTTTTAATGGGTTTAGTACAAGCCATGTTCAATCCTAAAATCCCAAATTCTAACACTTCTTTTAACAACAATGTTGAAGTTGTCTAGCTGGAAATATTGCTTAGAATATTTCGCCAGTACAAACATATGAATTCCAAAGAATTTCACATTTCTTTTGTGGTCTCGGTCTCCAAAGTGCAGTAACAAAATCAGTAGCTACAATGTATCTGCTTTCAGAAATTCTACAACTCTTCTAAGAATTTGGTTTAGACATATCACTGCAGTAGCAGATAAAGTCTTAAATGATCCCTTTTCTTATTACATGGATCTCTACATCTTAAAACTAACAGTCACCTAAGATAGTGGTAACTGTCACTTGTAACATAAAAAAAGCAGCTAGGTATCTTACATTCAACATGTTCAGATAACGCGTCTCAAATAAAAGTAAGTGGGGAACATGCTGACTCAAAATCTCTGCTGCTGCATGGTGGTAGCACTGCAAGACAAAGCCCATCATAATAAGAAGATGGTATTCCTGATCTTCCTGATCTGAATGTGTGTGTTTGGTGGCCCTGCTAGGCAGGGGGGTTGGAACTACATGATCCTTGAGGTCCCTTCCAACCCGGGTGATTCTGTGATTCTGTGATTCTGTGATTCTGTATTTCCTGAGTATTGTTTTCCTGTCTAGTAATCACTTCAAGAAAAAAAGCCTGTAAAGAGAAATCTTCAGTGCTGACATTGAGCAGACCAGCAACGGAAGCTTAAAGAGTTTTTTAATAAACAAAATGTGAAGAAGATTAAATATTTACTCATGTTCTATATTTTAAAAAACAAGTACACTGACATTTTCTACAGATTTTGAAAGCTGTTATTCTTAGGCAATCACAGACATGTACCCACTGCATACAATATTTTATGGTTATTATTACTGTCTGATGCAAACATGCATTCAACATAGCAGCTGGTTAAGGCTTTGTAGTTTTTAAATGCATCTCTTGTAGAAGAAAAAAAAAATTTCATCCATGATATGAACTTTTCGCACTGAAGCACTACTTCTACAGATGCTTGAAGAGCCTTGTATTGGAGACTATGTTTATCAGTGGAAGAGCTCATTGTTTATTTATTTATGTATTCTTTTCTTAAATTGGTTTACATCCTGTATATAAAATTAACACCACTTATCCAAAGTAGACCCAATGCTTGATTCAGGAAATGCTAGATAAAGCTCTGAATACTTTTGCATAAAGATTAGCATTACTGCTTATCTAGCAGTAATAGTCTCCACAAGAGTTGTAATAACTCAATGATAGAATCCTCCGTGGGCTGCAGAATTTGATACTTCTTCAATGCATATAATAAATAATATTTTAAATAGGTTTTGACAGTTTATCCAGCATACAGGATTACTACCCTGTTGTGATGATTAGAGTGGATATTAATGGGTGCTTTCAAAATTATTAGGTAATTATAATGATGAACCTTTTCTGTAACAAGAATATATCAATTAAGTATAAATTTGGAGAATAATTGAATTTCTGTAAAAAATTACTAGGCTCTCTTGATCAAAACTTGTAAATGGGAAACCGTAAAATAAGAAGAGACACAGAAGAAAATAGAAAGAAATCCAACTGAATAGGTAAAAAGATGCAGTCACTAATCTATATGAAGTAATCAACAAATTCTATATCTTTACTTGATATGAAACAGTTGAAATATAGCTTAAATTTAAATAACTGTTTGAAACATCACTGTTGTTGTCAATCAAACCTAAACTGAACCTAAGCTTTTCTTTTTCTATTTTTTTATGGTCCTGATCTTACTTTTATTGAAATGAATATATTACCTCTGGCCAAAGACATTTTTTATTTTGAGTCATAATTTCTCTAGAGACACTTTCTGTCAAGTTACTTCATTAATCTCTCACTTCTTTCTTCTCACTTTGCTACCTCTTGATAGCTATAACCTAAAAACCTTTTTTATATAAAATGTGATCATGATTTGTATAGCTCCTGCTCCAGCTGACTAAACTCAAGTCAGAGATATTCATTTTGATTTTCTTGTTCTGTGGTCACATTGAGAATCAACTTACTGTTGCCACAGTGGACAGAATCTATAACTCTCTTGACTCTTGTTTAATGGACAATACTATC